ACGAGAGAAGCATTGGGTGAAGCAATTCAGCATAACGATTTATGCATTCCTGAGCTCTATTTTTGTCATAGTATGATGAGAACAATTTACTTCTTGAACGGTTTCAAACAGCGAGTGATAGGATTTTACGGCATCATCGGAATAAATATCGGATTGGCGTTCCACATGTACATGTATGCTATTACGTCTTGGTGGCGCGTTAACTCGATGTACCGGGTGCTCGTAATTTCTATTATAGTAAATGTGTATAGTAACAACGTTTTAAGACAAGGTTTATTAACGTGTGTGTGTTTTGTTATTATTAGATTAGAAAAGAGTGTACACATTAATAAACGTCGCTGAGTGTGGACAGTGCGAGCGAAAACGTGGAAATTATTTGGTATATATTTTTGGTATATAAACGCTGGCAACGTAAAATTTAGCTGAAAAAATTCTTAAAAAATTAACAAAAGAAAGTAAAGATTTTTGTCGCAAACTATATTTTAACATAAGCGTGATGAAGTTAAATAACGCACGCGTGAGTAATGGAGCATTAATCGCGAGAAGCTTAACCAATTCGGAGTTTAATCGGCAATTCCACCCTACCCTGCATATCAGCCTGGTAGCCCGGTGGATGTAATTCGTCGGTGCACTTTTGACCCGCGCGACCTTTCGGCCCAATGCGACCTTTTGCGCCTATTTCGTATCTCCCGCAAAATGAGATTAATACCGTTCATCAGCGCGAATATCGGGTTACTATTTATCATGTCAGCAAATTGTGTGTTTGCAAAAATTGTATTTGATGTTCAAGTATTGTGTGTTGCGTATGTTTTGATCATACAATAAAAAGCGCTATTTTTCGCAAGCTATTTGTGTATATTTCTGCGCTGGCGTATAGCACATTGTCGAGGCGCGATGTGTACACATAAACAGGTGAAACATTTGACACTTTCCATTTGCATATCGACATAAAGATATCGCGCTATGGACTTTAACCGCATAATGATATTCATATTACGAACAATGACAGGTATCAGCCACATTTTGACCGTGCGAGTTGAAATTTCTCATTTGCATGTCAATATACAATTTTTGTCTATTCGCTTTATTAATTTTATTTATATGGCGTACTATTGTGTACATTTGCATCGTATGTATACGCAATGCAATACACAAAACAAGTATTAAGATCTACAGAAATAATAAATTTTCGTTTGACAATCATAGAAAAACATAATAAAAAAATACTTGATAAAATTTTTTCAAAATATTACATATTTTTATATCGAGTAAAGAAGCAAACATTAGTAGAAATACTGAATATCTATAATTCATAGATGTTGCAATTTTAAAATTCCTTGCGATTGTTATTGTAGTCGAGCTGACAAATCGATTGATATTCGCGATACGTAGAACATCAGGCTTTTTTACACGGTAGTCGTATAGAGCTAGTCGAAAAGCGAGCTGTGTCCTCGCAAAAATTCAGTAGAACGTTTCTTGCACGGTTGCCTTTGTATCAAGCGTTCGTGCAGACTCATGGTGAACGTATTCTGATGCGCATGCACGGCAGGGTATGTACACGCAGAGTTCATTTGTTATCGGCACAATGGACAGTGGAGGATTGCCGTACTCCCCATGCATTTACCATGCATGTGCAGGGCCTTCTGTTTCGCACACGAAATACGCGTTTCTCATACCTGCGATGTACTTACCGTGTGCAATAAACGTCTCATGCTGATCTTAACCTTTAAATAGAGTTTGATGAAAAATCTGAAAATTTATATGTTAATTCATTGACATAAAGTAACTCTTGAAGTAATGACAAACGTGCTAACTATTCGTCAGCTATTTATTTGAAATTAAATCTTTGCAGAAAGATTCGAACAACTTTTCAATGATAACTATTTTCGTAATTAGGACTCCTATTAAACTTTCATTAAAGAAGAATCGATATCAAGTTTGTCAAAGAATCTGTATAATTAAAAGAGAAAATGTGATTATAATTTTAATTACGGCGAAATTTTTGCAAGTTTATATAAATTACTTAAACGATAAGCTGCAATAGATGTAACACAGACGGAATATACGCACCTACAAATATTTAATTCTGATTTTAGATGCAGAGAGCGGTGCTACTGCTCTGTTGGCTGCCGCTCCTCAACCACTGCCACGCCGTAAATCCAGGTAAATATATCGATTTATTTCTAAAACGACGACGTCGGCGAGCGTGTATTGCAGGCAGGCGGCGGGCGATATCCGTCGTGCTACCAGCTGCGAAATCTCGCGGATTCGTGCAAAGGGGCTAGATTTTATTATTCCGGATAGGCGATTTCTTCTTCGACCCGCTTTGGCGGAGCGGATTACTGTTAACGCGAACCGATATTGCATATGTCGGTTTAAGGATCCGTTATCGTGCGAACGTAAGCCGCATTTACGTGGCGCATCGGGCTTAACGTATAGCCGGACGTTAGGTGCCCGAACGCATTAGTATCCAGGCAACGTGTCCGACAAAAACAATGCCCCTGTTACCACGAGCGGCCGGCTTCGGCCAGCTAGCTGGTTCTGTTGGCGGAGTCACGAATTGCGAGGATACATGCGCCCCGCTTGTTCTCTCGTGTATATTACACGAGATATGGTCTGACTGCTGATAAATTTCATAGGCGTAAGATTAAAACAGGTGGGAGTATATAAGTGTGCTCACACAGATATGATGCATAAAATTAATAAAGAGAAAACAGGCCATGGTTATATGTTTGCCTATACATATGTATAAAAACTCAGCTGGTAAAAATATGACTATTAGTTCGCGAATATGCAAAAGAAGAATAACCGACCGGTATGGTTATTTTTCTGAAAATGTACACGAGTGAAATATCATTACTGCGTAAGATAATACCGTCATGGCACTAGTACGCATCAGTACGGGTCTTTTTATGTATCTTCACATCGAGTTATATGCGATTTTATTAGTGGCGCAGTTTATTACGCTTGAAACGCATATAACACTGTGCTGCACTTTGTCGTAACCAGCATGCATTTTGTCACAACCAGCATCAAGTCATAAGTGAGCGATTGTAAAAATTCGTATGAACGCTGGCGCTGTTCGGGATAATATCGTTGGTGCTCGCGGCCATAATGCAACCGTATATACACACACATATATTTGCATTTTCTTCGCATGAGTGAGAACAGAAATGACGCATGAGCGAAACGTCTACGAAAAAAAAGTGGCGTTTAGTCATACGTAACGTATACGTCACATGACGACGCGCGCGCGCGTCAAATGCAGACACTAAATTATATTCAGCTTGATGGATTGCCCGGTGCGACTACTATTCATTGCTTTAGTAAGCAGCTGCAAAGTTGACTCATAAATCAGACATCGATACAATGTAAAATGTGCTTTTTCGAGGCACAAAGCGTCCGCGGTGATCGGATCTTCCATTTATCCTTTAATGATATGGAACCTGTGTAACACGGAAAGAATGCTAACGAAAGAACTTTCTCTATTACATGTCACAAGTTTGAAGATCTCTCATAAAACTTTTATTTCCGTGCCTGAAGATAATTAGTCCATTAACGAGCACAATTATTATCAAACATAACGTACGTGCTAAACTTTAAATAAGAAATTAAACGCTGTAATAGAATCCTTTAATTTTTAATTACCGCAGGCAGATGAAGATGATTAAAGTGTATTTATGCGAATCGAATAAACGTGGGCGCAATTTTTCTGACAATGGAAGAAGAGTAACGAGCTTGGTTATACACGTCGTATAACTGAACGTTACGCGGCGAGTGTATCACATTTAATTTGGTCGAGCGTGCCGAGCGGGCGGTATTCATTGCTTCGGTCGGCATCATTGAGCCCGTTACATAGATGCGTGCGCATCACACATGCGGTTAACAGCACGGAACAAACGACTCTTTCTCTCTTTTTCTCTTTTTCTCTCCGTCTCTTTATTTCTCTTTCTCTTTCTCTGTCTCTCCCTTTTACTCTTTTAGCTTCGTTCTGCAACACATTCTCGCGCACATGAACGGTGGAAATATTTCGATGGTTTTAACTTGTCAGCGTCTAGCAACCGCTCTGGTTCATCGAGCGGAAGTGCTGAAAATTCGGCGTTAGCCGGTACACGAGCGATACGTTAATTTCTCACTCTCGTTCGCTACTTCGTCACGTCCGAGCGCTCCGGATATCACGTTGTACTCCGCGGAAGCAAGTTTAGATCTAATCAATTCGGTCGCGTCACGCGCGCCAGGCGAATAATTTTGCTCAGTTTCCGCGGAAATAGCCTGAGAAATCTCGTCGTGGCTGCGAGGCAAAAGTTTGCTATTACGATCTTAGACCGAAGCTAGAATATGCTCGCTTTCAGCTTACCGGAAGTTTAATAATATGGCTCGTGGAAAGCGGCAAAACTTGGGCCCGGTCTATATCTCGTTGGATTTGCCCGCTCGTACTCGTGTTACACGAGCAAGTACACCGATCCAAGAGTAATATTCATTAAAGGTCCGACATTGCGAAAGGTACTTGTAAATTCTGGCTGCGCTAAGGCGGCATATTTAAGTTGTAATCGTCGTGCAATTACAAACTTTTCCGAGTTTATCTTTCCCTGTTCCGGGGCGGGAAGATGGAGGTGCGCTTACGCGTTTAGATTTTCCGCTCGACCGTAACTAAGGCTACGAAAAACTGATACAGCCCGGGAATTGAGTCCAAGTGCCTCTCTCTCTCTCTCTCTCTCTCTCTCTCGACGTCGGTACGCGATTAGTACAAGTGTACATTTCGAATTTTCCCTCTGTTTTCGTACAATCGGTATTTCCTCTTGAAACTTTGGTATTTTCCAAGCGTGGCGAGAAGTGAATTATAAACATAATCATCCTGGGATTATGAATTCTCACCGTAGAGTATACGTGCGTCCTACGATGCGCGTACAGTGCGCGTTTTACAATGTGTACTACGCGGGAAAACGCGTGCAGTCGATGCAAGTATTGCGGTAAAACGAAATATTAACTGCATTCACGTAAACCGCGTTCTTGGTCGAATCGGTGCGATCGGCAAAAACAGTTTCGCTGAAAAAGGTAATCTTGAATTTCGAGCTCGTAAATCGTACAACTTGGGGCGACACGAGTATACTTTTAACTGCCTTTCCCAGGAACGCCGGCACCGCAAGCACCGTAACTCAATCGTATGTAAATTGCCAGCGGTGTAATCTCGTAAAGCGGCTTAACGTTACGACGAAAGTTCTGTAACACGCCGGGCTTGCCTAAAATACGCGATATAAATTAATGTAATTCTTTATCCAGGGTAACACCTGGAACGCAAAATCGATACCTTTCGATACCTTTGAACAGTACTTCTTAATCTTATCCGGAGACGACATGACTCTATCGATCTTATCCAACAGAAACTACGAGACCTGAAACCAGGACCACTGATTCGATCGATTAGCGATAGTGCGGTTTCATTGCGGCCTGCTACTCCAATTGTTTGATGACCTCATGTTGTTACCTAAGTTGCAGCAAACTTTATCTGGCTTTCGAGTGGTAATTTCGGTGCCAAACTTGAAGTTTATCCCTTGTGTCCGTCACTCTGAAAGACACCGCGATCGCGGCTTGAACATGTCACAAAATAACAATCTTGCTATTACAGTTGTATCGTTTACCATTTATTTTTATATTATTTTTGTCACAGTACGCGCTTTCCGCACAATTATGTTTAAATTCCGTAATATAATTATATCGTTCCATTTGTCTTTGTAAAATAATGATGAATTAGCAATAATGTCGCTTGCTTGCCACTTTTCCTCCTTGTCTTGTTGTGATTGTGGTAATAACAAAAGACGCTTAACGGTTGAAGAAACGAATAAAGATCCGATGAAATATACCAGCTGACTTGGTAGCCGTTGGTAAGCTGGGGTAGAGTAAAGCGCAAAGTAATAACGCGCGAAATTCGGGCATGCCAGATTTATCGCGGCAACACACACCACTGACGTGACGCGAACGGTAACGAGGCTCAACGACAGCTGGTGCACGGCCCACTTCTCGCGAGCGAGAATACGTATTATACACGACGTATCCAGCTTTCATACGTACATGACGAATCACGATAAGCATGCAAACTTTGATCAACAGAGAAGACTTTTGTTTGTAATCTTGAGCGAGCGTAACGTAAGATTTGTAAGATGACAACGAACAATTATTTCAATTCTTTTATATTAAAAGGTATCTGTCCTCTCCGGTTCTCTAACCGCACGTTTATATGCATGTGCAATGCTTTTGATAGCCAACGAAACACACGAACGATGAAACAGACCGTCTGTGCGACAAATCGAGTTGCAATAAAATCCTGTATATTAAAAAAAAGCAAGGCGGGGGTGGGGGGGGGGGAGAGAAGTCGACACGTGCGTTTCGAGTTAAGTACCTATAACTGTTATACGTGTACATATATGTGGCTATCTCGCAGTCCTCAGCAAATATCCGTCACTGTGGAAATTCAATTTCAGGGATCACCGCAGCGACAAGATTAATAGTCGGTCGTTTCGCAAGTAAGTCGCGAAAAAATGAATTATTAACGAAAAACGGGAAACGACCGATACGCTGCGTAATGACGATGGAAAGTCGATACTCTGAATGAGTTACTCCTCTTCCTGTTTCCATCTCGCCTCTCTTGGCGATATAATTCTCATCATGGTATGAATATGGTGTTACATTCGTAACTCGATTTTCCGCAAGATATAACGCTCTCCACAATTGCTTTACGATAGTATTACAACTCATATTTCTGTGTATGGAACAGATTAGATGGATTCATTCGAATCATTGCTTTTACAAAAATTGTAGCACAAATAAATTATTCTCCATTACTGAAAATCGATGATCGAAATAAGAATAATCTTAGAATTATATATAAATTGCAATATATCTGGGTGACATAAAAGTATTATAATAGCAAAGAATAACCTGCATGTACCTCATCTCGCCAAACAAGTACCGGGAATTAGTTTTCGTGCTCTTTCACGAGGACAGTTTCATTCTTCAAAAACCCGCGCAATCTTCCGTGTGACTGAAAAAGATGAACGAGGCGTTGGGACGCAGCAGTGAAATTCCATGAAAATTACAAACTTCCCCTCGACTTTCTCGCAGTCAACACGCTTTCAAAAATTAGTGACGTGAAATATGTGACGTGA